TGAGAAGATCATCTTAATGGATTATATACATACTTGCATTGAATCAAACACAAATGAATGGTTTATTTCAAGCGATTCAGCTAATACAGAACAAGAGCTGCACATTAAATTACAAGAATTTACAAAACAGCCTCTCTGGTACACTTTTCTTCGTTTGTTTATTAAATATGTAATGGGTACGAAGCCTCCCACATGCCTCCTTGAAGACTAATAGAGCATTCACATCGGTTTTTTGTGTTTTTTTATACCAGTACCGGGTGGCAGAGTTCAAACACCTTTGCGTTCCAGCACTGGGGTAACTATTGCGTAAAAAGCAGGTGTAAACACAAAACATGGCTTAAACACTACCACTTGACAACTATTCACAATGGGTTTTAAAAGAATATAGTTCTTTAGTAAGATGCAACCCATACCCTACACTGTTCACAGAGGTGCGAGATTACTAAACTCTAGTAAGAGTTGTGACTACTAATTTCAACAAAACACTACTGTAACAATGCAACCAAAGGAAAACGGACTGGACTGGACCGAACTGGACATCACCACACGACATTAAGTCCAACAAAACATTTTTTTTAAAGAAGGCTTACACACACTTTTCCCTGAAGTGAAGTCCAACAAGGCCTCACTGCCAAGTTCTTTAATGCCATACAGCATTGTGATATGTAGAACATTTTGGTATCAATTTACCAGTTACACTGATAACTACATGAAATTTTCTGTATGGTGTAATTTAACACTACATTTATCAGTACATTAGATGACAGTAACCACCCTCCAATAAGAGTATATATAACCATAATGTTGCACACACAAATACATTGAACTTTGGAAAGATGAGAAAGAGGGCAAAAACAAGGTAATCCGATTACGGAGACAGCAAGTGTCTGAAGACTCGTATGACTGTAGGCACGATGTAAATCCCAAATAAAGACGAACACATCAGGATCAGGTGATCCAGACAGCAAGTGCCACAGATTCTCTTACCAATTAAAAGCCTGTATCGTTTATCAGATTAACACAGACAGTCACACTCATTTTACTCCACATGTTGTATACCGGTACTGAACAGCACAATATGAAGCAAATATACTTTTGGAATTTACAAATCGGTGGAAAAAAATCCAGATTGCACACAATATAGACAATAAAGACTATAATGTGATCGACAGCAAGATATGGGTATGATTTATTAGGTAAGAGCATTCTGTGATGTACAGTATGACTCTGAAGATTATCTCTATATCTCTATAAAGTTGACTTGATGTAATAATGTGATGTTGCAACAGTACAATCATCATTTTCTGGTCAAATACAGAAATAACTTCCATATAAAAACAACATCATGGCTATAAAGACCATTTTAATGAAGTCCCTTGGACGGTTACTAAAAACAGATTTGACTGTATTTTGTTTTATATTGCATCTTGCAAGTATGTTTTATCGCAAGATATGATATTTTGGCAGCAAATTCTCATTTGATGACGACAAATCCCAATGTGCATGAACCTTCATTTACTTATCCATATAGATTATTTGTAACATATGCACTAGCACTTTCATGATTTCACTAAACAAATAAAGATTTTGTTTAGGCGGCAAAAAGCAGTATTTTATGATCAAGACACAATATAAAAAAAAAATTTAAATTGTTAAATGCTAATCTTTAAGCTAAACTCGCAAGAATGAAAAGAATAAGAGTTAATCGATTGTATTCATGCAATATGAAAGGTAAATTATTCAGAATGATTCAGTCTCTTCATTTATTCTATTGGGTGTCTGGGCAGAGGTGGATTGTGTTTTACGATATCTGGGGAGTTAGCCTGCTTCAGAACAGACAGGGCAGGGAAAATACCATCAGCTTTGTTAATGGCAACCACTGATGTAAGCCAGTCAGAAAGGTCAGCTTTGAGAACAGAGATGTAAAACAGATCACCATTCAAAGCTGTAGTTCATTTATATTTCCTTTTTATTTTTTTAATGTTAAAACCTGTTTTGTATTTGCATTATAATTGCCAGTATGCTACCAACCAGACCAAAAGAATTTAATTCATTGCATTACTTTTGGAAGGCATTCAATTTTGTTTAAATAATTTGCATATAAAAGTTTCATGCCACTGAATATGAATTTTCCATGCACTACCCTAATGGCTTCAAAGACTGCCTCAATGCATGCATTTGGTAGTGACAATTTTAGGTCATTGTCGTCTTGTAGACTCCAAAGAAAATCATCAACATGTACTTGTATCAAAAGTGCATTTTAAGGTCACCAACTGTATGAATTAAAGACGACCACCCCAATGAGTGAATTATGATTTGCAACTGGTTTAGGTGGGAGAACACAAGAATTGTTTTTGTGTCCCATTATGATGGAAAAGAAGGAAAACAAGGTTTCAGATTAGGGGTGGACGAGGTGGGTGGGGGATGTGTTATGATAACCTCAGCATTACATAGCACTTATCCCAGGGCAAAAACGGGTGTAAACGCAAAACTAGGCTTAAACTCCATCACTCTGAGACAATTCCTGATTGTCACCGAGTTGGGGCTTTAAGGTGCATGTGATTTTTGACACATGTCAAATTCAATTTACTGGTAGCTATCAGTAAAGGTTTTCAACTGACGTTGTATTAAACTCTAGATCTGCTGATTGGTTTGATTATGTTAATAAGTATGTACACTATACATAAATTAACTTTTGGCTGAGTAGTTCCTGCTGCTCTGACCTACTGATCAGTACTGTAAAATCTGTATAGGAAGCCACGGTTTCTGTTAAAATGGTACAATGAATAGAGGGGATGCGGTTTCTATTGGAGCATATACACAAATGAGATAGTGATTTTTTTTGTTCTCAATTATTAAAAAAAATGGTGCGACTTCTATTAGGGATGTGGCTTCTAATACAAATTTTACAGTAGGTCTCACATTCAAATTATAACTTCATTTGAACACCAAAAATGGATCATTATGAGAATGCCACATTAGCCTGTTAGCTGATATACCAGTAGCTCTACTGTATAGTTTGACAATTGAAAAATACTAGAAAATTAAACTTATTGTCACATATAAAATATGGAAGCATTCAGCTAGCCATTTTTCAAGAAGTACAAAATTTTAAGATATCTCCGGGAAATGAATAAACCTGAGAAAGGTACATACATACCAAAATTTAAAGCAAATGGACTTGCCGTTTTCAAGGAGTAGAAAATATTGACACCGGTAGACAAGCAGTAATATGAACGGCCAAATAAAGGAATGTGAGATAGTGGTGGATTAAATGTTACCTGGCACCCAAAAAAATTATGAAAGAAGTTTTTTTTTATATCAAATAATTTCAAACAACTCACCTTCCTTTATCTTCTCCATTCCAACAATTATAATCCACTAGAAATGCAAAATTATCTTTTTCACAGATTCCATCAGCTAGAGTGTTATAAAAGTCTTTTGAGCTGATTAGACTTCGTATGACGGATCTTATTCTGTCATAAAGAGTCGATGGTTCACTTTGTAACGGGTATTCCCTGCTAAAATCTTGCGCTTCATACAGTTCATTTATCGTGCTGCGTTTAAGTCGTGGTGGGCTTCCACAGCTTGTTACCACCTAGAATACAAACACATTTGCACTTTTAAAATCCAATTTAGAAAGCAAAATGACATTTCATCAAGGTCCAATAAATTTCAATGCATGTAACCAAATTTGAACAAAATGTATCCACAAGCAACCAAGATCTGGTTTCAAAAAGCTTGATAATTTTTTATCACAAAAATGGCCACCATTTTGTCATCTGCAATCAGATCATAAAATGAACGGAGAAGCATATGCACCCCAAGAAAGTTGTGAAAGTTGAATGTGATTGACCCTGCATGTCAGAGATATAGCTCTTGATTGGTCCAGGCATGTCTAAGATACAGGTGACGACATGCCTATGCATGGAGGTCAATCCACAGAGCTAAATATGCAGGCTCCTAGCTTCAAACTTACACATTTTGTATCCCAAGAAAAGTAAAGCTCCGACAATTTTAGGAACATCTATGTCTATGGCTTCTTTGTTTCGAACTCTGCATAATTCAATATTAAACTTTCAATACTATCCTCAAAAAATGTCAGACAGTGTTTCACTGCAGTTTGAGAACGAAGCTTAAAACGAGCTGATATCACGCGTTTACAATGCAAGGCATGCAAGTATATCACATCACTTTGGCAAGAAAACTTACCTCTGTTGATATTCTAGGTCCATAATCCATGGCATGCATTATTGCATCACCAATTTTACTGTGCATGTCTTGTACCACGTACTGTATATCATACACACCACGCATTCCTTCAGTTAACTCATCCAGAGCAGTGATGTAATCACTCCAAAAAGGATCAATATCTGCCACATTGGCAAGGCATCCTTTCATCACATTACGACAAAAACTGTTACAAGGTTTTATCATAGTCAATCCATTGCAGGAACTGCAGTATTTTAGCTTGAGCAGAGCTTTGCTGCACTCTCTAGTCAATACTATATGATCTGTGGTGTTAATCACTTCTATTCCAAGGTTCAAAGCTTGAATGAAAACCCTCGCCGCTTGCAGCGACTTCTGTAGATGCAGTGCTAGTCTGTGCGGGATTTCTCCAAATGGTTTTATTTCCTGCTGTGACTGCATCAAACATTCCCTGTAATCCTCTGGCATTCCTACTTGTCTTGTATTTACATAATGAACATAGACCATTGGGAAGAGCTTATCAAAGAAACTAGAAACACTGTCAGTTACATCAACCTCCTTTCCTTGCACATACGATGCCAAGTCCATATAAAGATCTGATGTTAATGTGTGAGCTTCAATGGCTATTTTAGGGAAAAGTGTCCTCATTTCTGTATTTGTAGCTTCTTCTGCATTCACTAAATATACATCAAACTCTTCTGTGAAAATAGAAAAAAAGGCATTTAACCATGAGGATTAATTTGCAAGAAAAGTTTAAAATAGAGAGGTTGTCAACTGTGCAGGAATTGAGCTCCAAGGAACACTAGCACACACTGAAAACATAAAGGCTCATGGGTAGATGGTTATTTGCATGCTCAGGTGAAGATTCTCTCGCTTAAAGTATTTCTGTAAACTGGCATTTTTATTTATCATGAGGATGTGACAATTTTTCGGCTAAAATTTTGCATATTTGCACTCATTTTTCAAGCATTTGTTAATCATTTCACCACCAGACTTTCTTGCCCAAGATTTTCAGCATTTTTTTTCAATATTTTCGGAAAAGACAAAATGTTTGTCCCAATCTTCTGAACGAAAATGCAGACTATAAAAAAGACTATTTTGTGATCTTGTGATGAAAAGATGGTTGTGAAAAGGCAAAGTTGGGACCAAATGGAAATTTTTCATTACCTAAATGTTTTGATCATTGCTTGGGAAAAACCTAGTAATAATTGTGTGGGTTTCATTTATGTTAGATTAAGTTGACAAAAGTTGTGGTTGGTATTCAGAGGGTTAATGATAATTTTACCCAGTCAAATTTATAATGTAAAAATATTAGATATGCATACATGTGAGACGTAGAAAATGAATGACAACAGCAAAGACCGATAAATATTCATAAATTGCGCTGCGCATGTTTAAACATTTCATTTAGCATCATTTATCTCAGAAGCACACATTGATACCATAATTAGACAGCAAGTTATTTTACGCCTGAATGGTCATTGTGCATCCATCAGCAAAGCAGTCAGTCACAAAGCAGGCCATGCTTTTTAGGACTAGTGTAAACTTGACAGCTGTCACAGTTAGTTACCAAGAACATCCGGTGTTCTGTGTACCAAACATACTTGGGTCAATGAGTCCCCCAATTCACAGCTGTTACGGGTGTATCCAATTGTGAAATAACAGGTTTCAGAACTGCATGTCACTGGTGGGGTTCCATGCAGTTTGGGACTGGTAACCATTAACAGAAATGACATCAATACAAGGCTCAACAGGAGCCTGAAATTCTTTTTTCGGTAGGTTATGAATTAAGTTCATCCTGAAGACATTAACCTGGGAAATGCTTTACCGTAATGTACAGCTATATCTTCAATACTAAAAATGACTATATGACAACGTAATTTGTAACACAGCAATTTGATGTATTATAAAAACCTGACATGAGAATATTTATTTTCTCTGTACTCTAACCCCTACATATTTCAGCACCTCAGTAACTTTCACATGATCACTGCAAGCTGACAACTACTGACTCCCAAACAAAAACCCTTGACCTCAACTACCAGCATTACCACCTCCAATTAAAACATAATTGTTATCTGTCAGAACCAATTATCTTTATCCAGACAACTTGAGAATTTATAAATTTTATACCTTGGAGTTATAATTAAGTCATAATGACAAAATTCCAACATATAATGATTCAATATAAGAAATGCAAAAACTAAATGTGAATATTATGCACTGTACGAGAAATTGACACATAAAAAACCCACAAATTTGAATAAAATTACTGAACAAAATGAAGTGCAATAGATTATAACCCATCATTTTTGTGTACAAGCCTAATTCAAGAAAGTTTTGGTACATTCTACTTGTCCACTATGCCAAAGTTATCATAAAAGCATGTTTGAAACGCAGCAGTATACTTTCTGCATTTTATAGCGTAGCTAGTAACTCACCATCACGTAAGATTGCACTTAAAGTCGTTTAAATTAAAAGTCATGATTGATGAACCACGGGGCTATTAAATGTAGCTTACGATGGGAGAAAAGAAATAGTGCAGTAAAAAGCATCCTGGAGTCCTTTTGGTCAGCTGCAACCACATCAAATACATTGTAATTTCTGACAGGAAAGGCCCGGTTCCAAATTGTCTATTGGAATTTTAAGGAAAATTTAAAGAGACATCTAAGCTCAAAATAGATTCCTTGAAACATGGTCAATGAAACTGGAATAGTTTTCACTTTGGAATACAAGATTGTGTATTACAAGTATTAAATTTACAGCAGGTGCAACATGCACTAATATATTGAAATTCTTGTGGAAATTCCATTAACTTTTTGACCCCTCAACTTTCACAAAAAAATCTTTAATCAAGTTTCCATTTACTATTTTCAACTGAAGTTGATTTACCTTTTTTTTCAGAAGAACTCAAGTAATAACAACACATATCCACAACATACTACCAATTACATGTTTTTTTTTTGTTTTTTTTTCAAATACACATGGTTCAGGGTGATATTTTGGGATAGGGGAACACTGCCCCAACATTAGCAGTTTTTGATATCCAAAATGTTAACCAGTCGATAATCTTCAATTGGATCAAGATGCAAAGCAAGTCAACTGAACCCAATAAAGTATTCTTAGAGGAAATAATATCAATGGCATGTTTACTTCATGAATAATTTAAGTTTTTTTTATTTTTCATTTGGATAATCTACGACTATTTAGTTATTACCGTAAAATCTGTATTAGAAGCCGCATCCCTAATAGAAGTCGCACCCATTCTTTTTGAATAATTGAGAAGCAAAAATTCATCATTTCTCAAATGTGTAGGTGCTCTAATAGAAGCCGCATCCCCTCTATTGCATTGTATCATTTTAATAGAAGCCGCGGTTTCTAATACAGATTTGACAGTAGACTACGTAGCTCTGTAACCACAGCATTCTTCAAGACAGAACTGTGATCTAATCTACATAAAGCTTGTTCTCAAACATTTTAATTGGAGTGTAGTTCAGCTTGGTAATGCATAACCATTGTTGAGAATACTTATGTTATTTATTTATATCCGATACATGAAAGGTCAGAAGGGTAGAAGCTCAAAAATCAAATTTATTACTAATTTGCTGAAGGTGGTATGCAACACAATTCTAGTATTAATCCTAACCAAAACCATATTTGAGGTAGTTTTACACTTTAAAAGTTTAATTATAGGTATAGTATATACATGTACCATATAAAAATAAACTGAATCCCCCAGTTAAATGGAATAAAGTTACCATAAAGTAATAAAATTGTTTAATTGTGAATAAATTTGTTCTTCTTAAATATCCTTACATCATGAAAAAATTAAATGACAAAAATTGAAATGTTCAATCATAATCTCTTACCGGTACATCTGAAGATTTTTTAACACTTTGTTCAGAAAAAAGAACTTGTGCATGTCTTTGACAATGGAACCCCTCTAAGGGACGACGTCAAAAGATCGATGTCGGATAAAAAACTTATTTGCTTTAGTTTGGGGGTGGGGGGTTTTGACCTCAAAAAGTTTCCATTCGACAAAAACGATTTTATTTTTTAATGAAGTCAAAAAAATCTTGGTATATTTGTAGTTCGTTTTTTTTTCTA